TATATATATATATATCCCTCTGTTCCAGTAAGAAAACCTTGTATGTCCAATGAAACATGTCCGAAACCCGCCCAACCCCCAAAAAACAAACAAACAAACAACAAAAACAGGTAAGATATTAATTAGCCACAGCCTTTCCATAGAACCGTGCTTTAAAAGATCCAAACTATCACTTCAAGGTTCACATTAACTACACATGAACTAAAGGCCGCAGCCAGTTGTAATGTAAGTCATGTAAGTCAGATTAGATATATTAAAATGAGAGTGGTCAAACCAATCCTAATTTAATTCTTAGAAATAAACTACAAAGGCCTGCAGATTCCAATTTCCTATATGACCCAGATTTTAAAGACCAGAGGCCTCTAATTTATAATGCAGACCATCTGTAATAAAACTAAATAATAAAGAGTTTGTCCATAGAGCGCAAACATTACTGCCAATGGTCCAAACCTACTTGATTCTTTTCTGTTTTCCCATCTAAACATTCAAACACGACTTCTTTTTCTCTTCTCACCTCGTCTGTGGACACTTTGAATCGGAGTAAAAACAGGAAGATGAAAATATCTCAGACACCACATCCTGAAGATTAGAGCCGTTACAGACGAGGCCATATCAGGGTTGAAGCAATGTTTACTGATGACTCCAAACAAAGAACGATGCATTTGATAATTAAGTTTGAGTCTAAACACACTGAGCAGCATCAGCTGATGAGATAAATTTATCCTTGTTTGGTTTTCTGGCACTTGTGCTTCTTTAGCTGCCAGCTCCTCTGAACCTCGGTCTAAATCCCAGCATGGAAACAGATGGGAGTGAAGGTTTCAAGTCGGCAAGTTGTCAATAATAATTAGAATCTTTTAAAAAAAAGAACGATAAAACTATTGAGGAAGTGGCAGACACTATGTTTGATTGTTATTGCATGCTGCCAAAATTAAAAGGTGGATGATAATATTTTAGTATGTGTGTGTTTGTGTCTATTAGCAAAATATTTCATGAACCACTGGATGGATTTTAATGAAACTTTCAAGATTCAAGATTCATTTACTAATGACCACACAACAAATGGATGGAATTTGCTTCTGGTACAGCATGACATGCGCACATATCTGCGTCAGAACAACAACACAAACAATGAGAGCACTTAAATAAATCAGTTATGATCTGATTTAGTACAGCAGTTGGAAAAAAGTTGTTTTTGAATGTGACTGATTTTGTTGGTAAAGACCTGCAGCGTCTTCCAGAAGGTGTGGACAGATGATATGCAGGATGAGAGAGGTCTGAGATGATCTTTGTTGCTTGTTGCGTAATGCGTCTACGATACAATGTGTCAATGGATGGGAGGGCACTGCCTGTAATTTTTGACGATTTATCTATTATACACTGTAGTTGTTTTTTATTGTTTTTTTTTTTGCGTGAATGAGCGTCCAAATTTCCGTGCCAGACTATTATGGATGGTGAGTGTGCTTTGAACAATGGCAGTGTAAAACTGAATGAGAATGTTATACCTAACTCTGAATTTTTTTTATCGTCTGAGGAAAAATAATCATTTATTGGCCTTTTTTAAAAATAAATTTGGTCTGAGTGCTGTTTCCATTTGAGTGTGTTACTGATGTGTGTACCTAAATCGGTGATGGTTATGGGACAGGTGGAAATGGGGATGGGTGCCTTGTGAGTGGGTTAACAAGAAAAATTAACTATAATTTTCTGTGTTTTTGGGGTCTGCAACGTTTACAATCAAAGGAGCCATTTGTGCGCTTTTTCTCACTAATAAAATGTGTCCAGAGTCATAAAACAAGCTACAACTGTGATTATCAACTGGTGGTCCATGGGCCTTTTCGAGGCCTTTTCAGGAACCTTTACAGTGGAGGTGACATTGTAAAACTTAAAAAATATTATTAAGTTAATCATAATTATACACATCAGGACAATTATAAAGGCCATATTCATGTAAACAAGAAAAATAATGTATAGTTTATTCCGAATTTCATAGAAACTAGTACAACTGAATTATTCAGGCATATTTTTTCTAATTCTTAGAATTACGTAGTCTTTAAATTAGTAAAAGGTAATGCTGATGGGTTTGAGAGAAAGATCCTAGAAAGAAATTGGAATATTTAAGTAAAGAACAGGCTAGCATGAGCTACATGTTTTACTTTTTGTATTAATACTGATCACATATTTGCATACAAATTGATTTCTGTTGTGGGTAGAAAAACAATATATATATATATATTCTGTTCTGTTTGGTCACATTTTCAAAGAGCCACTGCAGAAGGACCAAAGAACCACATGTGGCCCCAGAGCCGCATGTTGCAGACCCCTGTGTTGTTACTTTGGCACCAGGTAACTTCTTGGGTTATCTGTTCACGATAGTGATGTTCATTATTGTTAGTGATGAGTCCAATTATTGTTGTGTCATCTGCATATTTGAGGACAGGGACTGCGCTGTGAGTGGATGTAAGGGTGTTTGTGTAGAGTGAAAAAAGCCCAAGGCGAAAAAACACAACCATGGAGGACACCTGTACCGAGGGTAAGAGTTTGGGATGAGAGGCTACCCCTTCCTGACTCTCTGCATTCTTTGTACAAGAAAGTTGTGTATCCAGTAACACAGGGTGGAGTCAATACCATGTCCGAAAGTTTACTGAAAAGGATGACTGGTTTTATAGTATTGAAGGCAGAATTATATAGTGCTGTACCAAACGATTATTTTCTCACCGATTAATCTAACGATTATTTTTTCGATTAATCGATTATTCTAACAACAAATCTATAAGTTATTCTGATGTGAGTGCACTGAAAATTTAAAATGTTTTCATCAAATTAACAAGAACAGTTCTTTAATATTGTAATATTGTCTTTAATAGTTTTTTCATGGACACAAAATATGCACTCTAGAGTCAATTCTTTAACAAAAAAGTTTAAAAGATTTAACATCAACATAAAATCTCAACCAAAGCATATAAAATTCAA